TGTGGGCTTGCGTAGGATGCCGACTTTGACGTGCACCACGACGGAAAAATACCTACCAAGCGAAGTCCACAGATGATGGCTGTTGGATACTGCAGTGTTTCCACGAATGAAGGAAAGGACATTGCACGGGGATTTGATGCGAAGGAAGCCATGAAATCAGGTGGGCGCTGCAGTGCGAGTATGGAGCGCGCACTCGCTGAGCCTGTTCGCAACCTGACGCATTAGCGCCTGGCTGGGCGATTGCACCTCTACCTCTTCATGCCTGCCTTCTCACATTAGGCATTCGTATGCAGGGCCATACCCCGGATGCATGCATTGGCTGCTCAGCTATGACGTTTTTTGCTCACGTCAGCCTGGTTAGATACGTGCATACGGGACTTCCTAGAAGAATCAAATTCGAACCAGTCTACGCCATTCTTTTCATCTTCAATGAGAGTTCAATCACACAATAAAGCTTTCTCGCAGATGCCGCTTGTGGAATTACTCGCAAGGGTTGCAGAAAAGTGCGGAAGGGTTACACAAGATGAAAGTGGCAAAGATGAGCAAGTACGAGCTGAGCTTCTGTCGGCCGCGCGAGAACTAGTCTCCGAGCTGGAGTCTCCTGTTGAGAGATTGTCGAGGATGGTCTATCTTGAAGTAAGCTGGGCATACCGATTGTTTGCCAAATATGGCTGATCTTTATAGCCTACACTACTGGCTATTGTCAGAGCTGCTATAGACTGGAAACTGTATTCTGCTCTTGTAGCAGATAATGGCTTGCCAAAAGGATCGACCCAACTGGCTCAAGAATGCAAGATTGACGCTAAGCTGATGAGTGCGTAATGCCCCTTATGAGCCACCTGAGTCCCGCTGAACGAACCATAGGTCGCTCTCTCAAGCATCTCTCAGCCGGTGGTATCGTTAGAGAAGTAGATGTGGATCGATATGCTCCAAGGCCAATAACATATCTCCTCTGCAACCCAGGAGCCCAGGGTATGGTCATCGACATGTCTGGCATGCCTCAAATTGTGTCCAATTTTCCATATTTTCTGAAAGACCGCAAATACCAAAATCCAACTGACAAGGATGACTCTCCGTTCATGCACGCTTACGACACCAAGTTGCATTACTTCGAGTGGCTTAATCAACCTGGTATGGAAGATCGAGCACAGGCTTTTGCTAACCACATGAGTTTCAAAGACATGGACAAGAAATGGTATCAGATGACCGACGTGAAGGCGATCTTTGATAACCCGACTGATGCAGAAACCGTCCTCATGGTCGACGTAGGAGGGAATCAGGGCCACGATCTCGTTGGATTTCACAAAGCCTATCGCGATCTTCCCGGTAGATTGGTGCTTCAGGACTTGGACGCTCAAATCTCAAAGATCCCTCCCAACACTCTCCCAAAAGCCATCGAAGCCGCGGCTCACGATTTTTTCACTCCACAGCCCATCCAAGGCGCTAAAGTCTATTACTTACACATGGTCCTACACGACTGGCCCGATTCCGAATGCATCAAGATCTTGCAAAATATTGTTCCCGCGATGAAGAAAGGGTTCAGCAAGATTTTGCTCAACGAAGTCGTTATACCGGATAGAGATGCAAATTGGTTTTGTACTAGTCTCGATGTGCTGATGATGCTGGCTCATGCTGCGCAAGAGAGGACGGAGGGCGATTGGAGAGCTTTACTGGGGAAAGCTGGGTTGGAGATCAAGAAGATCTGGGATTGTGAGGGCAATCCTCAAAAGGTTATTGAGGTTGAGCTTATGTGAACTTGATTAGGTATATTGAGACTCCTTTTCTCGGTCAACGCGATCTCCTGCTTTCGAGACTTCGGTTATGGGATGCCTAACTGTATGAAATCCATTAAGATCCATCGAACAATGGCTTGCATTGCAGCAATTCGACTATAGATATAGTCTTCCTATTCGAGCTCGTGGGAACGGCCTTGCAATTGGTATCGTGTTGGCAAGTCGTCCGATCCCATCCTTACCTAGAATGATGAACATATCTCTGGGATTCTAGTGATATGCTCTAATTTGATCAAGTATACTCAAGGTCGAGATGTGAGAGAAGAGAAGGATGGGCATACTTATTCTTCAAAAATCAAGTGGCTGTTGCTAAGTCGCCGGGCATGACCAAAGCTAACTGTGAGGAGCCACATAGCTATCGGATAAGGTTGTACGACATGGTAGTTGCTAATCCTCAACCTCGGACTGCAGGGAGCCGAGTTGCGTACAACCTCAACATCTGTTGTATGGATTTGTGCATGGCGGGTCCTTTATCTTTTGGATCCGGAAATATACGAAGTGCCCACGTTCCTGGGGAACGGGTCTGGAGTATAGCAACTCATTGTGAGATTATTGCAATCGGAACATATCTCCCGCGTCGTTATCCTCTGCATCTGATGATTCCTCTAGACTGACTGGTAGCGGCGACTGGGAATCCACACCCTTGTTGTCAAACACACCTTTTAACATAACGACCAGATCCTCTGCGTCAGCTCTTCTGTCGAGCGCAACCAATAAATGTTTCTCCACGATATCGAGTATCTTGCACGTTAACCTGTCAGACTTGCGTGCACTGCTCCGAAGATAGCTATGCCATAAGTGGACAATTTCAAGAACGTTGACGCTGTCATGAAAGTAATCTCTACGAAAGAATGAGCTTTGAGAAAGTGCCGCTTCGTCTGTCTGAATCTTTTTTTTGAGGTAGATTCTGTCGAAACTTTTCTCTCGAATTCTACGATACCTGTCCGGGCCGGCAGGCCCTAAGACTATCCAAGTAGCTGTTTCTGAGAGGGGGCAGCCTAAAGACCAGAGATCAAACTTCTGTAGGCTTCGAAAAGTCGCATTCGTGGTCAGAAGGTTGGTCTCAGGTGGTCCTGAAGAAGACAGGTCAATGTCCAACCCAAGAGGAGATGATCGAAAAGGAACCGCGTCTTACCATATGACGCAGTGCCACGGAGTGCAGACAATGGGATCGAGGTGCCATTCTCATTTACAGAGCCAGAGAATCCGAAGTCTGAGATCTTGAATCTCCCTGTTTCTACCCGTACTAAAAGCAGTAAGCTTGATACTTAGAATCTACCGCGATTATACTTGTACTTCGAGGTTGATATAGGTGATAGTTCTAGGCGGCCGTAGTAGCTTTGATGAGATCGAATAATTACGTGGTCTTGCGACATTTACAAAGCTATGGGATTATCGTTGTATGAGCAGATCTCAATACAGCCCTCCAAAATGAGTCATTCTTACCCTCTCAATTTTTTCTGGCGCGGTGAGAAGAATTTGTACCATGGATACTTCGAGGTACCGTGCTGGACTGTCAAAGCGAGCGGTTTGACCCACAACGATATTTCTGAAGGTATCAACGAACTTACTGGCCTTTACTTCTCATTGTATAAATAGTGGACTATCAGCCTGATCTTAGCCATCAACTACCTTCAACAGACTCGGACCATTAATTAGTATCGAAACTCACAAGACCTGATCTTCGTCATCTCGACCACGACCACCCCAGGTAATAGCCTTCGCCTCGAAACTCTTGTCCAATCCCACATCATGGCGCATTTCATCGTCACTCTGCCGACAAAGCCTGTTCCTATCGTGGGAAGTCTCTGGCCGGTTCGCAAGATCACTGGAGCAGACTGGAACGCCTTCCTCTGGCACTGCAAGAATGTGTACGATTGGGCTCAAAGTGAGTCCACATTGATATAACCTATCACCTACGCAACTTCTAACCATACCAAGGACGGTCACAAGGATAACGACGCATCCTTCTAGCCACAAAGGAGGGTACCCATATGACTGCAGCGCAACTCGACGAAAAATGCAGGGTTACTAACCTAGAATGGTTCTTCAACTGGCCATGGGAACGAATCACAGGTCGGGTACAATTTCCGGATCCCGTGGAGCTAGATGAGAGCGTGCCGATGAGTGACGGCGTCCGCGACTTGCGCGATACATATCTCGAGATGCAAGCGCTTTTCCCAACTATCAAGCAGCCACAGTTCCGCTGGGAGCAGATCGACTACTGGGATGTTCTCGTCCAATACCGTGAACACCCGGAGGTCCAAGTCGGCGGCAGCAAAGACAAATTCAATCCTGGGGTCAGCGGATGGTCGGCCGCCTTTAGTGATGACCCCAAGGAGCTCTTGTGGTTCCTCCCTTTGGCGCTCTCTGTATGGATTCCAGCCTATTATGTAATGGCAAAGGTCTTCGGTAGAGAGGCAGATTCGCAAGAGATATACCTGCGAAATTACGTATGGTATACCCTGGGCCTAGTGCTCTTGTGGCTCTGGTACGATTCTTGTAAGTACGTCCATAAGGGGCGTTTGATCAAGACCAAGTCGACCAAATCTATGGGTTTGGCATAGAGGGACAGGCATGCCAGATTTGTTTCATCACAGGCACCATACTATTTTCTTATCATGTTCGGTTAGTTGCTCACAATTGTTCTCGCTGACCAGACTGTTGTTTGACCCTTCGAATTTGCTCCTCAATAGAATTGATGTAATCCTAATAGTGGTATCAAGTGCCCGCTCCTTCGTGGTTCATTAATGCTGCCGATAGTGGCGAGACCGACAGAATTGACAAGGCTTGAGAGTAGTTCATGGAGAGTAAACCTCGTGTCCTGATTAGCTAGCATGTTAACGTGAGTTGAACTGGAAGACTTACAGCGATTAACAGCATCCAGCTCTTGTTGCCCAGCTCATAGTCTGATCCGTTCTTCATCTTCAGGGGCATGCCGAAGAGCTATCTTGAGACTTGACTTCAGTGTCCTTGTTGCGGCCATAACCTTCTCATAAGTCTCTCCTGATGTGTCAAGCCGATACTTGCCACATTCTCTTTCGTCTTCGTCAGCGGCTTCAAAAGCTCTCATCATCTCATCGGTCTTGCCCACATATTGGTCGTGGCATCACTTGCCGTTGTGTCAATTTTGGGGGAGCGCACAGTGTCTATCCAAGATAGAGCAAAAACAGCGAACGATGGAGAGGGGAAAAAATCAAAAAAACAAGGTCCTACCCGGGATCGACTATGACTGTTAGCGGTGCGCCTGACGCGCAGGAGAACTATTCACGTACACCGGGATCGCCGGAAAATCTAGAGCATCAGAATCCGAAGTGCTAGCCATTACACCATAGAACCAATAATTGCTGCTGAAAGACAATTTTACCGCATCTATCGCAAGACCTCGGCTCAGACACACGAAAGCGAATAGCCAGACGAATCTGGCTGGTCCCGCTTCCTCGGACAGCCTCGGACAGCCTCGGACACAGTCTGTACCCATGGAAGGCCCCTAAAAGCAAATTCTTGTAACCACGAGTATTGATGGCAGGAATTTCTCTCCGTGGGGTGGAGAGTGCGAAACCTCAGCATTATACCCACTTCGAAGGCAGCTATCGATAAGCCACGGTGCGGAACTATTCCCGGGCCGATTCCAACTTTCAGGGCAGCTCCCTGATGACGCACCTCTCAGCCTCGCAGCCAAGGCTTTGATGCTTACTGTTCAATCTCAAGCTTGAACTCTCTCACTACTGATCTGATATTCTTGCATATTCTCGACAATGTCGGCGCCAAGGAATACTGCTCTACGAGCCATTGCTCGACCAGCTTGGGGATCAGGAACTCGAGTCTGTCAACAAACACCGTTCAGATACCAATACTCGACAGCCAAAGATGCAGTGAAGAGCTCGAGTAGTGTACCATGGTACGTCTTGTAATCCTACGTTCTCGATGGCATTCCCTGGAAACTCGATGGTCTTGGAAGCTATCAACTGTCGACCCCTCTCAAACTACACACCGGACCCAGTAAACAAACAGTCTGAGGCCAATTGCTGACTATAAGCTTCAAGGGCTCTTTCCGCAATCGCACTCACTGGAGGCGGCACATACCTCGCCCTCCAACCACGCGTACCAGTCCATCATGATGATCACTCCTCCTCCCATTTAGAACCAAACGACCATTCCTCCATCGTCGAGAAAGCCTCCGATCTCAAAGAGTCCGCCTACTCCAAAACGGAAGACATAAACCAACAATCAGACGATGAAAAAGACCAACACAAAGAGAAAGCAGCGGCATCATCCAAATCCCTGATCAAGGGCGAGCGATCCGGCGACTCGGTCAAGAACCATGGTATCGCGTCGGAGAAGAATGAGCACAAGGTGCGCGAAGGAAAGTTCAGTGATGATGAATTTGATAATCATATCACGAAGCATTCGAATGATCCGGGGAGGGACTTTGAGAAGATTAGGAAGGATAAAGAGACGGTAAAGGCGAAGGGGGAGTGATTCGCGGGATATCAGGGGCTAAGAGAGGAGGGAAGATTGGATTGTTGTATGATACCCGTTTTGTGCGTGTTTGGTCCTCAAATCCATGCGCACTTTATGTTTCATCCTGGCATACTTCTCTTACACTTTGCGAAGGCGATGTCTGTCGCACATATCTTGGAAGAACATTTCCTAGTCTTCTCAACAGTAGTTTATCAAGCGCATGACCTGCTCACTCTCAGGTTTCACTTCATTTCCACCGATTGCACGCTTCCGCGACTCTTACTCCCACCAACGCCAGCCTCGACGCCTTTTCTTGCGCGCAAGCTCCAGGCAGCCTCTGCCCAGGCACCACCGAAGGAGAAGTAAGGATGCATAATCGTCATGGCAGAAACAGCAATGATGATCATGGCACCCTCCAAGATCATGAACGTGACTTCTTGATTAGCGAGTTTACCGTGGAAGCCGTCGGACAATTCTGCCACACGGAAGACCGACCGGATGAAGATGGCGATGGTTGCGATACCGAGACCTGGTGTTTAAGAGTTAGCAACCCCCCAGAAACAAGTCTATGAAGGCCCCGGAAATGACTCACAAACTAAAAACGCGCGAAACCTTCTACTATACCTCAACGCCGCGAACCTTTCGTTCAATTCCAACTCCGCCGCTTTCCTGACCCTCCAGGCAAAATCGCAACACAACCCGATGAACAGTAAGAGACTGACGACCTGGAAACTCAGTCCTGCAATCATGATGTTGACACCGAGATCAATGTCTTTTGCTGTGTCTGAGGAAGCGGCGATGGCACCGCCCGCTGCTTGGAGGAGTAGAGAGATGAAATCGCAGGACATGAAGAGGATAGCGTATGTCCTCGGTTTGACACGGGAGATTGATTCGCCATAGACCACGATGAGGCGGGCGAGGCAGAGGTAGATTGACGCAGCCAGGAAGGCCGGGGCAATTGTCAAGGTAACCAGCGACCTGGGTTGCGTTAATATTTAGGTGATCGTTTCAGATTATTGAAGGGCCAGGTTAGTACATACGATAGGAACCCTTTGTCAATGAATGGATTGGAGTGCATCTGGATCCTGCCCACATATCCGACGACTTCCAGAACGACTCCACAGACCATGCCGATGGCGAAACCCCATGCTTTGGATTTGTAGCCCAGAAAAAGTTGGAATAGGAGGAGGATGGAAAAGATGGAGACGTAGAGCGCGTTCCCGGCGAGAGAGGGAAGGTATTGGTAGTGCGCTTGTTGGAGGGAGCAAGTTGCTAAAGTGCAATCTTCATTTGGGATTACGGGGTGGGCTATCAATCCCATTGTTGGGTTGATTAGGTTTCAGAGCGTGTGATATAATCAGTCGTTGGTTTATCGTGGAATAAAGTTGAGAGATCTCAAAGAACTATTATCAGGCTTCAATTAATGGAAGAAATATCAGATAGAATGATAGAGAAGTGATGGAAGATACTCTTTCCATGGCGACAGTCTTATTGTCTATATGGTCATCTCTGATCCTGTCGCTGTGCGAAAGTGGATCACCAAAGAGGCTGTGAAGCATCGCGAACATCAATACCACGGCCAAAGGGTCAAGATAGCAGCAAAAGTCGTAAGCTCCGAGGCACGCGGGTGACAAAATAAGCGAGAGTGTCTAGCCACTTTTCTCACCAATTTAACAAGCACGAGAAATGCATGCTACTCAACCACGGCCGAAATAAAAGATCTGAAGAGATAGATCTCTTTAGAGTACTTAATCAAGTATCTCCTTCAAGATTTAGAAATGAATACCAATTAGTGGTGGTGTAATCATACCTAGAAATCGTTGATTTTGGTCAGAGAATGGCTCTGGCTGGGCAGCCTCGCTTATTTTGTCACCCGCGTGCGAGGTTCTCGAGCCATGTCAAATCTGACAGCGTCGAAACAATCAGCAAGGATCGACCATGATTATTGGTCGTGGTCGAGATAAGGTTGCTAGGATTCGGAGTCTGGTAGCAGCTCGCAGTTCATTTCACACTTTCGCAGGGAGCTGTCTCACTTGAATACGAGCCCCTGCATATGGCGCACGAATCGCTCTTTAGCAGTGCCTCACAAGCCGCGAGGACTTTCAGGCTGCAGTATTTCGTACCTTGGTTTTCGTGCCCGTCATACGGATCCTCTCAGACTCGTCATAGCAGAAGTTTATTATCCCAGATCGATTGCGCCAAGTAACGAGGTCTGTATTTTCGGACTTCATATAAAGTTGTACATGGGAAGAGAGCTGTCATAGAATTGGCTCCCGCTGCCAATCTCAAGTGCATCGAACAAGGCATCGTTCCAAACACCCCAGGGAAACTGATACTCAAACGACGAGTTTTGGGACATCTGCAAGTCCAAGTCTGTCAGAATAGTGCCGTTATGGTTCTCAGGATTGATATAAGATACTCCCATGTTTGCGGTGGAAATAGGAGTGAATTCGATTTGAGGAAGTGGTGGCTGTGAAGGTGTTGGAGTTGGCTTGTGATCGTTGCGACGTCCACGCAGCTCTGCAGCTGTCCATGTTGCATTGTACATTAAGCCTGGGTAAAAAGAATTAGCGTTATTATATCTCCTGGAAGGCGATAGGATGTGGACTTACTGGCGCCAAGTCGACTCCGCACATGAGCAACGAGCCTTCCCCGGTCTGGTACGATTGCGCGACCAAGCACTTCTATGATAGCAGCCGCACGAACAAGTTGAGGTTGACATGGAAAGCGCATGAAAGTCTGATGGAAAAGTGTCGATACTGCGTTCCGCGCAGAGTCTCTGTCAGCGGCTGATGCAGTGCCGGTATCTAAATATTTCAGAAGAAAACAGCAGGCGAAAAAGGCTAGCCTGAAATGCTGTTTGGGTGTCGCTAGAATCGGAGAGCCTCCATCTTCGTAACTACCACAAGAAGGGTTCTCATTCTTGGCATCGCTGGCTCTAGCCACTAGGTTCACCAGTGCTATGGCCGCTTCATGTCCCCACTGCAGGACTTTGTGTAGGAAGATGACCGCCTCGGTATCTTTCATAGACTTGAGACTGCTGTGATCAGTGGTGATAAGACACATTGCAAACATGTAGAGTTTTGAAGCCTGCATGTTGATCTCAGTTGCAAATGACCAGACTTTGGAATACCGGACTTTGAGAGCGTCGAAATCGTGGATAAATTGAGGAATGAGAGAAATGGCTAAGCTGTCGCAAGCATGGCCATCTAATGCGATGACGAAGCGGCCGACTTGGCGCTGGATTTCAGTCATGGCAATGAACTCCCCTGGCATATTTTTCTCGTCGTAAAATTGTGAAATCGTTCGTATGCCAGGAGCGGTGTAATCCAGCCCATACCAAGTGCTCAACCTAATCACAAGGTTAGTGAATCCATTGCGGGATTATTGCGCAATCGATCCCTACTGTGTACATAGTTGAAAACATTTCATCCAGGTCATTTTCCGGCATCTAAAATTTGCCGTCTGCTGAAAATGTTTTGTGAGGCGGGCTGCGAATAGATTTTCATCGTCAAGCCGATTCAATCCCATATAAAGCGCCGCATTGATCGCCATTCCACAATGTATCCATGCCGGGTCCTCTTGTTGTGACTCTACCTCAAAAGGCCATTGGCAAATTATGAGTAATGCATGCAGGTCTTTCAATGAGTGGACAGGTCGCGTTAAGAACTCCCCAAAGATTTTTTGATAAGGCTTGTGAATTTTTGAGTGCACGTCCGAATGTGTGGGATGGTGGCGTGCTGCAACAAAGATGATGGCCCAAAACAGCATGGAGCTGGCAGCAAATAGCTCACCAAAAGAGGTTACGGGTTCCAGAAATGGCATGTGTGGCAGGTAAAACTCCTCAAAGCTTTGGATCATCAGAATGTCAACTT